CATGGGGTCGTGATGGGTCGGAGACGACTTCGCAACTAACAACAAAATCCACAGCCTGAGGATTTCATGATGGTCTCACATCTAAAATCAGGTCAGATCCTAACCGTGACTTAACCATGTGGGCCAAGTCATCATGGAAAGCGGTCGACTAGGTTTTATTTGGTTCTTGCAGGATGTTTGAAGAGAGAAACTACCGTAGGTTTTCTCGGCCTTCAGTGAGATTTTAGCTTATTGGCCATTCAATTCCTGCCAAGATTTTATACCAGGAGCCCTGGTGGCACAGTGATTAGAATGCAGTATTGCAGACTGACTCTGCTCACTGTCAGGAGTTTGATCCTGACCAAGGTTGACTCAGCCTTCCATCCTTCCGAGGTCAGTAAAATAAGGACCCAGATTGTTGGGGGCAATATGCTGACGTTGTAAGCCAATCAGAGAGTGCTGTAAAGCACTATCAGGTGGTATTTAAATCTAAGTGGTATTCCTTCTCCCTATATTCAGAGAACGGACAGGGTGGAGTGGGAGGCAAGTGCCAAAATATGTGTCACAGTGTCAACTTTTACCCTTTGCAACCTTACCTGTGATGCTGCCACTTAAAGAAGAAAGAGTAGAGCTTATATTATAACTTCACGAGCCATAATTTGTCATGAAGGCACCACTGCACCACTGCAGACCAGAGATGGAATTTAGCAGGTTCTGACCAGTTCTGGAGAACCGGTAGTGGAAATTTTGAGTAGTTCGGAGAACCGATAAATGCCACCTCTGACTGGCCCCGCCCCCATCTATTCTTTGCCTCCCGAGTCCCAGCTGATTGGGAGGCAATGGGGATTTTGCAGTATCCTTCCCCTGGAGTGGGGAGGGAATGGGGATTTTGCAGTAATCTTCCCCTGGAGTAGGGAGGGAATGGGGATTTTGCAGTAATCTTCTCCTGGAGTGGGGAGGGAATGAAGATTTTGCAGTATCCTTCCCTTGGAGTGGGGAGGAAATGGGGATTTTGCAGTAATCTTCCCCTGGAGTGGGGAGGGAATGAAGATTTTGCAGTATCCTTCCCTTGGAGTGAGGAGGAAATGGGGATTTTGCAGTAATCTTCTTCTGGAATGGGGAGGGAATGAAGATTTTGCAGTATCCTTCCCCTGGAGTAGGGAGGGAATGGGGATTTTGCAGTAATCTTCCCCTGGAGTGGGGAGGAAATGGGGATTTTGCAGTATCCTTCCCTTGGAGTTGGGAGGGAATGGGGATTTTGCAGTATCCTTCCCCTGGAGTGGGGAAGAAATGGGGATTTTGCAGTAACCTTCCCCTGGAGTGGGGAGGGAATGAAGATTTTGCAGTATCCTTCCCCTGCCACGCCCACCCAGCCACACCCACCAAGCCACGGCCAAAGAACCGGTAGTAGCAATTTTTGAATCCCACCACTGCTGCAGACTATACTGGATATCTATACAATTAGTCCTCAACGTAGGGCCACAACGGAGCCCAAAATTTCCATTGCTAAAGCAAGACAATGAAGTGAATTTTGCACCATTTTACGACCTTTCTTGCCACAGTTGTTAAGTGAATCACTGCAGTTGTTAAGTTAGTAACGTGGTTGTTAAGTGAATCTGGGCTTCCCCATTGACTTTATTGGTCAGAAGGGCGCAAATAAGTACATGCCAGTTGCTAAGCAACTAAATTTTGATCACATGACCACAGGGATGCGGCAATGATTGTGAGGAAAAACAGCCATAAGTCACTTTTTTCCAGTGCTGTCATAACTTTGAATGGTCACTAAACAAATGATTGTAAGTTGAGGACTACCTGCATATCCCATTTCTAAATATGTGAAATAATCCCTTCCTCCTATATTCTTTACCTAACATTTTCTAAATTAAAACAGGCCCAAGAATGGCCACTTTGGGTCATAAAAGAGTCGCTCCCAAAAGTTATTTCTGGAAAGCCTGCACTTCTCTAACTTTCTAAGAGTTTTGAAGAAAATCTGTAGCATAAAATGGACAGATTAGAAATCATTCCATCTGAAGTATCTGTTGGGGAGTCGGGGCGATGCAAAGAAAAATGGGGCGGAGCTTTAACGACATGATGTGGCTGCCATCTTGACTTTTTTGACCTACACCCTTTCGACCTACACCCAATCCCATATGTCAGGGGTGTCAAACTCGATTTCTGTTGTGGCCCGTCAGTGGACTGTGCAGCCAGTAGCTGATTCCAACAGCGAGGAGGCTGGTGTGGTGCTGCACCAGCAGCCTGTGCAGCTGGCGCTTGAGTCGAACAGTGAGGAGGCTGGAGAAGCTGTGATGCCAGAGGCAGGGATTCAGCCAGGGCCTTCAGAGCCTCCAGAAGCTCCCTTAAGTGAAGAGGACGAAGAGGAGGAGCCACTTCTCAATGAATGGGTGCGCAGAGCTGCCAAAAGGCAGGAGTGGCTCCCCAGGAGGAGGTCTCCTCGAGAGTAAGGCTTGGGGCTAATTGGCCACTCCCTTAGCCTATTTAAGGAGGAATGCCAACTGAAGCAATTTGTAGGGAACAACTTTAGTTCACTCTACTTCGCGTCTGGATTCTCTGCACATTGCTTCTGGGCTTTCTGCCAACCTTTGTAAGATTGTGATTACTTTATCTTTGGTTTCTTGTAGGCTGTTATGAAAGCTTATTAACAGCCTTTGTTTTGAAAAAGACTGAGTTATTTGAGTAAATTAAGTTTTGTACAAACTGCTGTGTTCTTTGGGATCCGTAGCTGGGGCAGAACAATTTCATTGAGAGCTGCATCAGGGTTGTGTTTGTCCTCACAGGGCTGGGTGGGCGTGGCCAGGGTGGGCGTGACCAGCTCAAGATCACTCATGTCGAGGGCACCTGTGGTGGCCTGGGCGGGGCTGGGGGAATCCACTGTCTCCAGTGGAGGAAGGCGAGACCAGGGAAGGAGCCAAACCCTTATTCTCCAGAGGAGCCTCCCTGTCTCTCTCAGGCCGCAGTGCAGGCTGTCCAGAGCCTTAGGTAGCAGAGGGCAAGTGCCCAGCTTGGCCCTCAAGCTCCCAGGGCACTGGGACCCCTCCGTCCCAAGCTCAGTTTTCGGCTACGACAGCCTCCTGCAATAGTCTGCCAGCGAAAACGGAGCTTGGGAAGGCGGTGCGTGGCCCTCCCAAGCTCCATTTTTGCTGGCAGAGGCACCGCGGGCTGGTCCTTCGACGTTTCCAGGGCAGGGGTGGGTTCTAAATTATTTTACTACCGGTTCTGTGGGCGTGGCTTATTTTGTGGGTGTGGCTTGGAGGTCATGTTACTAGGTGGGCGTGGCTAGCTGGTCAGAGTCATTTCTGGAAGGTCCTCGCACTTACGACCCAACTCATTTGTTTGCTTTTAACACTGATCAGCTGTAGGACGGCCCTTTGAAGCCCCGCGGCAAGAGTTTAAACAGTTTTTTTCCCTCTAGTCATCAGCTGGGACTCAGGAGGCAGCAATAGATTGGGGGGTGGGACCAAATAAAAGGTAAGAATAACGGGGGTGGGGGGGTGGGGGGGAGAACCGGTTCGATGATGTCATATCGTCACCGCTACCGGCTCTGCCGAACCGGACCGAACCGGGAGGAACCCACCACTGTTCCAGGGAGGCCCTGCGGGCCAGAACTAAGCACCCCGCGGGCAAGATATGCCTTGAGTTTGAGGCCCCTGCCATATGTAAATAAAATATTACCTTCCTGCAATTTTAATTTTTTTTAAAATCCTTTTTTCTACAGATCCCTAACAGGAAATCTGCCATTCTTGTAGCATCTGTGCGCCCTTGGATTTTGCGTTCATTTTGAATTTCCCAACTAGAGCAAATTGAAATAGAGACAGATAAGATGTTCTGAAACAGCTTTCTATTTAAAAATATTTTCACAGCAATAAAAAAAGAAGCTGCATGGACCTGGCCGCGTGTGTTCATTTTAATTGGCCCTTTCATTAAGGTTAATCAGGTCTTCAATTATTGAAGGTCATACGTCCCAAGCTCAGTTTTCGGCTGCGACAGCCTCCTGCAACAGTCTGCCAGCGAAAATGGAGCTTGGGAAGGCGGTGCATGGCCCTCCCAAGCTCCATTTTTGCTGGCAGAGGCACCGCGGGCTGGTCCTTTCGACGTTTCGAGGGCAGGGGTGGGTTCTAAATTTTTTTACTACCGGTTCTGTGGGCATGGCTTATTTTGTGGGTGAGGCTTGGAGGTCATGTGACTAGGTGGGCGTGGCTAGCTGGTCAGAGTTATTTCTGGAAGGTCCTCGCACTTACGACCAACTCATTTGTTTGCTTTTAACACTGATCAGCTGTAGGTTTGCCTTTTAACCCGCGGCAAGAGTTTAAACAGTTTTTTTCCCGCTAGTCATCAGCTGGGACTCAGGAGGCAACAATAGATTGGGGGTGGGACCAAATAAAAGGTAAGAATAACGGGGGGTGGGGGGGTGGGGGGGAGAGAACCGGTTCGGTGATGTCATATCGTCACCGCTACCGGCTCTGCCGAACCGGACCGAACCGGGAGGAACCCACCACTGTTCCAGGGAGGCCCTGCGGGCCAGAACTAAGCACCCTGTGGGCAAGATATGCCTTGAGTTTGAGGCCCCTGCCACATGTAAATAAAATATTACCTTCCTGCAATTTTAATTTTTTTAAAAATCCTTTTTTCTACAGATCCCTAACAGGAAATCTGCCATTCTTGTAGCATCTGTGCGCCCTTGGATTTTGCGTTCATTTTGAATTTCCCAACTAGAGCAAATTGAAATAGAGACAGATAAGATGTTCTGAAACAGCTTTCTATTTAAAAATATTTTCACAGCAATAAAAAAAGAAGCTGCATGGACCTGGCCGCGTGTGTTCATTTTAATTGGCCCTTTCATTAAGGTTAATCAGGTCTTCAATTATTGAAGGTCATAAAATACTCTAGACTGATATTTAATTATTTGCTTCAAAGGGGAGCCGTGATTGGCAGGTTCTAGCAGAGCAAAGGGAGATATTTTCTGCCGGGAGAATGTGCAAATGGAAAAGAAACATTTGCCTTACCTGTTGGCCGTGATAGAACACAGCTAACAGAAACATGGCCATGAGGAGCAAGGAAGCTTCTTTCGTCCCCAGGAAATCCGTGCTATAAAGAGAGGGAAAAAAAAAAGAGAATGAGGAGGCGATTAAAAACAAAATAGAGAAGGAAAGCTTAAACTAAAACACATTTTCTATTGTTTTGTTTTGTTCAGATGTGAAAGTGGGCTGGGTAATTTTGGGCGAATAGAATGAATAGAATAGAATAGAGTAAAGTAGGGTAGGGTAGGGTAGGGTAGGGTAGATAGAATAGAATAGAATAGAATAGAATAGAATAGAATAGAATAGAGAATAGAATAGAATAGATAGAATAGGAGCAGAGCAGAGAGTAGAAGTAGAGTAGAGTAGAGTAGAGTAGAGCAGAGCAGAGCAGAGCAGAGCAGAGCAGAATAGAGTAGAATAGTAGAATAGAATAGAATAGTAGAATAGTAGGAGCAGAGCAGAGCAAGTAGAGTAGAGTAGTAGAGTAGAGCAGAGCAGAGCAGAATAGAATAGAATAGAATAGAATAGAATAGAATAGAATAGAATAGAATAGAATAGCAGAGCAGGACAGAGTAGAGTAGAGTAGAGTAGAGTAGCAGAGCAGAGCAGAGCAGAATAGAATAGATAGAATAGAATAGAATAGAATAGAATAGAATAGAGCAGAGCAGGAGAATAGAGTATATAGAGTAGTGTAGAATAGAATGAATAGTAGAATAGAATAGAATAGAATAGAATAGAATAGAATAGAATAGAATAGAATAGAATAGAATAGAATTCTTTATTGGCCAAATGTGATTGGACACACAAGGAATTTGTCTTTGGTGCATATGCTCTCAGTGTACATAAAAGAAAAGATACGTTCATCAAGAATCATAAGGTACAACACTTAAGGATAGTCATAGGGTACAAATAAGCAATCAGGAAACAATATCAATATAAATCGTAAGGATACCAGCAACAAGGTTATAGTCATACAGTCATAAGTGGGAGGAGATGGGTGGTGGGAACGATGAGAAGTTGAGAAGATTAATAGTAGTGCAGATTTAGTGAATAGTTTGACAGTGTTAAGGGAGTTATTTGTTTAGCAGAGTGATGGCGTTTGGGAAAAAAACTGTCCTTGTGTCTAGTTGTTCTGGTGTGCAGTGCTCTATAGCGTCATTTTGAGGGTAGGAGTTGAAGCAGTTTATGTCCAGGATGTGAAGGGTCTGTAAATATTTTCACAGCCCTCTTTTTGACTCGTGCAATATACAGGTCCTCAATGGAAGACCATGAATTTTAGTCCAATCTTAGGCATGAAGCTGGCTGGGTGACTTTGGGCCAATCACCAGGAGACTGTGAATTCTAGATCTGCCTTAGCCATGAAAATCAGCTGGGTGACTTTGGGCCAATCACCAGGAGACTGTGAGTTCTAGTCCTGCCTTAGGCCTGGTCCAGGGGTGGTATTCACTTACCTTCGCTACCGGTTTGCAAATGTGAGCGTGCGTATGCAGGACCTACCGCACATTCACAGAGCATCAAAAGCGAGATGTGATGATGTCCGGGAGGGCGGGCGGAGCCTCCCACCACCGCTGCTACCGGTTTGTCCGAACCGGATAGAACCGGCTGAATACCACCACTAGTCTGTTCATGTGTGAATGCAGGAAGGAAAGCATCAGAGAATAGGGTATAGAGTGCATATGGAGAAGATATCAGGAAGTGGATGCATTGGTTCCCTCTCAGACAGGGGTGAAATCCAGCAGGTTCTGACAGGTTCTGGAGAACCAGTAGCGGAAATTTTGAGTAGTTCGGAGAACCAGCAAATACCACCTCTGGCTGGCCCCAGGATGGGGAGGGAATGGGGATTTTACAATATCCTTCCCCCTGGAGTGGGGAGGGAATGGGGATTTTGCAATATCCTTCCCCCAGGAGTGGGGAGGGAATGGGGATTTTACAATATCCTTCCCCCCGGAGTGGGGAGGGAATGGGGATTTTGCAATATCCTTCCCCCAGGAGTGGGGAGGGAATGGGGATTTTGCAATATCCTTCCCCTGGAGTGGGGTGGGAATGGAGTTTTTGCAATATCCCTTTCTCAGGAGTCGGGAGGGAATGGGGATTTTGCAGTATCCTTCCCCTGCCACGCCCACCAAGCCACACCCACCAAGCCATGCCACACCCACCATGCCACACCCACCAAGCCACACCATGCCTACCAAGCCACGCCCACAGAACAGGTAGTAAAAAATATTTGGATTTCACCACTACTCTCAGATTCTATTTATTCTCAGAATAACAGAACAATAGTGTTGGAAAACTTGTCCTGGTTTTCCACCTGATGCTAAAAATAAAAAAACCCTCTCTCCATTTCCATGTTCCTACTGAGATGACAGTCAATGAAAAGCCCCTGACAATAAAAGATTGACACATCAAATACAAGATTGACACATCAAACCAGCCATGATATTGCTTCCCACTTTGGAGAGCCATTATAAAGGCTTCCCACCCCCTTTTCATTTCTGCCGATCTTTTTTTCCGGCTGATGAGATATTTCTAGCATCTTTGCAGAATTATCTTGTCTAGGGATGAGACGATTCAGGTAAGGCTCTCTGCTGGTCGAGGCTATTTTGGTTCCATTGTTCTGACGAAATAAGAAGAGGCTGCGGAATAATTGCACGCTGATATGCATGGCATCTTAGCACACTTTTTTGGGGGGGGGGGAATTATTTCCCTGCATATAGAAACCTAGCATGCCAGATACCACCCCCCACCCTGGAAGGTTTCTGTAATGTAATAGATGTAGCTGGAAGGCATTTGGCTCCAGGCAACTGTCATGAAAATGAGTGACAGGCTGGGGGATATGGAAAATTGTAGTGACTCTGTTTTTGATAGTTGCATTTTACTGTGTGGAACTATTTTATATAAGGAATATTATGCAGAGCAGTGGAACATCCATTCAGGGTTGCTATTTACTTATTAAATGTATATTGCCACCCATCCCACTATCTATCTATCTATCTATCTATCTATCTATCTATCTATCTATCTATCTATTGGTTCAATTTATATGTCGCCCTTTTCCGGACTCAGGGCGGCTTACAATGCGTTAAGCAATAGCCTTCATACTTTTGTATATAACTGCTTAGTAGGGCTTTTGCCCCCCCCCCAGCGGTGTTCTTTTTTATACAAAGTCAGCTTACTGCCCCCACAATCCGGGTCCTCATTTTACCTACCTCGAAAGGATGGAAGGCTGAGTCAACCTTGAGCCTGGTGAGATTTGAACTTGCAGTAATTGCAGGCAGCTGGTGCTACTTAACAGCACTTAACAGTGTTTTAGTCTGCTGTGCCACCAAGGCTTCTAAAGTGCTTCTGTGTGGCTAAACCTTTGTTAAAGAGGTCCAATTAAAAACAGTTATGCCCAGTTAAGCTGCAATTTGGTGTAGTGGTTAAAGGTCCTGGATTAGAACCAGGAGACTGTGAGTTCTAGTCCCTCCGTAGGCATGAAAATGTCAGGGTTTCCCATCCCCGCCCGGCCTATGGCAACTCGAGAGCAGACCAGGGATGCTTTGCGAGTTGACAGAAAGCTGGCTGGGTGACTTTGGGCAATCATCATGAGACTGTGAGTTCTAGTCCCTTCTTAGACATGAAAGCTAGCTGGTTGAATTTGGGCCAATTACTAGGTGACTGTGAGTTCTAGTCCTGCCTTATGCATGGAAAGTTGGATGGGTGAATCTGGGCCAATCACTAGGAGACTGTGAGTTCTAGTCCTGTCTTAGACATGGAAAGTTGGATGGGTGAATCTGGGCCAATCATCAGGAGACTGTGGATCTAGTCCCTTCTTAGGCATGAAAGCTAGCTGAATGAATTTGGGCCAATCATCAGGTTAATTGTGAGTTTTAGTCCCTTCTTAGGCATGAAAGCTAGCTGGATGAATTTGGGCTAATCACCAGGTGATTGTGAGCTTTAGTTCCACCTTTCCCACTTGATAAAAAGTGTCCACAAAAGAGACCTAAAACAAGATGGATCGATGACATCAGCAAGTATTGAGGGCCCAATTGGCAAAAGAAAGCTCAGGACCGTATTGGTTGGGAACATGTGAATAGACAATGGTTAAAATGATGATGATGATGATGATGACGATGGGTTCCACCTGAAAGTCAGCTGGATGATTTGGGGCCAATCATCAGGCGATTGTGAGTTTTAATCCTGCCTTTGGCATGACAGCCACTGGATGACTTTGGACCAGTCCCTCTCTCTTGGCCCAGCCTGCTTCACGGGGTTGTATGGAAAATAGGAGGAGGAAGCAGTATTACACATGTTTGCTCCCTTGAGTTACCGTATTTTTTGGAGTATAAGACACACCTTAGTTTTTGGGGAGGAAAATAAGAAAAAAGCTGATTGGTGGGTGGATCGGCCTCCCGGAATACCCCCAATCAGCTGTTCCCAGAGGTGAATTTTAGCAACAGGTTCATGGGTTGTGAGCTCTGCGCCTTGCTTTTTTTTCTGCCTCTGAAAGCCTCTGAAACAGAGCTTCAGAAAAAAAGGCTTTTTTTTCTGAAGCTCTGTTTGGAGGCTTTTTTTCTGAAGCTTCTTTCAGAGGCTTTTATTCTGAAGGACTATCTGTACTCTGTTCAATCTCTTTTCTTTGGTATTGGTATGTAGATTAACCTCTTCCGATCTGTTGGTTATTGTGTCATTCTCCAGATTTGTTAGCATAGTTTGGTTAGAACCTTTACTGATTCTTCTTTTGTTGCTTGCCATATTATTTTAGACAAAAGCCTTTCAGAGGCTTTTTTTTTCTGAAGCTTCTTTCAGAGGCTTCTTTCAGCCTCTGAAATCTCCATTTGGAAGGCTGGGTGGGGCTACATTCAGAGTATAAGATGCACCCAGATTTTCACCCCCTTTTTTTGGGGAGAAAAAGGTGCGTCTTATACTCCGAAAAATACGGTATTTATAAGAATAATAAAGGCGGGATAAAAATCTAATGAATAAACCAATAAGTAAAGAAAGACTTACTCTCCGTTATGATTGATGTCATCGTACTGGAGAAAAAGGGAAGCATAAATGGACTCGGTCAGGAAGCAGTAGATCGCAATCATGATGAGGAGCACGGCCAACTTAAGGACCGAATTGAGACGGAGAAACACGGCACAGGTCACCATAGCCAGGATACCAGTAAAGACGAAATACTTAATAAAGAAAATTGGGAGAAACATCAGCCTTTAGCTCAGCGACCTAAACTAATATATTCAATATCTCATATAGAACCATGTAAGTCTTTCAAGTATTGGAAGATGGCTCTTATTGACTCAGCCTTCCATCCTTTCGAGGTAGGTAAAATGAGGACCCGGTTTGTGGGGGCAATAAGCTGACTTTGTATAAAATAGAACACCGCTTGGGGGTGGGGCGAAAGCCCTACTAAGCAAGTATATACAAAAGTATGAAGGCTATTGCTTAACACATTGTAAGCCGCCATGAGTCTCTGGAGAAGGGGGTCATATAAATTGAACCAATCAATAAATCAATAAATCAATATTATGTCTCTCTTAAGCCTTCTCTTTGTTAGATTTATATGCCGCTTCACAGTGCTTTTACAGCGCTCTCTAAGCGGTTTATAGAGTCAGCATATTGCCCCGCAACCATCTGGGTCTTCCTTTTACCAACCTCGGAAGGATGGAAGGACGAGTCAACTTTGAGCCCGGTGAGATTCGGACTGCCAAACTGCTGGCAATCGGCAGTCCGCGGAATTAGCCTGCAATACTGCATTCTAACCACTGTGCCACCATGGCACATGTTAGGCTAAAACATACCCAGTTCACTTAGCCATTCGTCATACGATCTAACTTCCAGACCCTTTATCAACTTCATTGCTCTTCTCTGCACTCTTTCTAGGGCCTCATAATAATAAGCAACTTCATTAGACTAAAGTAGACTTTGCAGGAAAAAAAAATATAGAGGGATTTCTCCGCTAACATATATGTCTATGGAGATTCTCAGTCATCCAAGTCATGGTTGTCCCAAAGATGCTTTTTCAAGAGGCAACTGGACTTTTTGGTTTTTCTTTGATGATGTTTCGCTTCTCACCCAAGAAGCTTCTCCAGCTCTGACCTTCCCTACCCTCCAGTCAGAGCTGAAGAAGCTTCTTGGATGAGAAGCAGGGGTGGGTTCCTGGGGGTTCGTCAGGGTTCGGGTGATCCTCTAGCCAAGGATTGCCGGAGTTCGGTGAACCCCCAAATGCTACCCCTGGCTAGCCACGCCCACCCCTCCCCTCCCAGGAGTCTCCATGCAGCCCGTTCAACATTCCAGGTAAGTGCAGGGGCTGCGCGGAGAGTCTGGGAGGGCAAAAAACGGGCCTACTGGAGGTTCCAGAAGTCTGGAAATGGGCCTGTTTCCAGCCTCCGGAGGGCCTCCGGACCGCAGGAAAAGCTGTTTTCACCTTCCTGGAGGCTTGAGGAAAGCATCTGGAGCCTGGGGAGGGCAAAAAAAGAGCCTCCTGGCAGTTCTGCAAGTCCAGAAATGGCCCTGTTTCTGGCCTCTGGAGAGCCTCCAGACCCCAGGGGAAGCAGTTTTCGCCCTCCCAGAGGCTCGAGGAAAGCCTCCGGAGCCTGGGGAGGGCAAACCCCGCCTCCCGTGGTGCAGGCAGCCAACTAGGCCACGCCCACCATGGCCACGCCCACCCTACAACGGGGCAGCAAACCCTTTGCTAAAGGATCTGAAGCCCACCCCTGATGAGAAGCGAAACGTCTTCAAAGAAAAACCAGAAAGTCCAGTTGCCTCTCGAAAAAGCACCTCTGGGTCTGCTAACGTATACATGTACAACAGCTGACAACTTTTTGAGAGCTCTTGAGAATGTACGAATGTGCTGAAGTTACTGAATCAGCCCTAAAAGTCAGCTGCCAGAAGGCCTTTTACCACAATGAGATTATTGATCACTGACAATCTGTTTTTTTTCTCCCTTATAGAGGAGAATTATAGAGGGGAATTCCTGCATTTTAAGATTGGAATATCATGGCCCTGCCCTCTGGCTGTTTTGAACCACACTCCCTATATACCCTGGCAGTAGACCATGGGTACTCCAGAACATCTGGAGAGCATCAGGATGCAAATGGTTTGAGTTAGAGACAGTTTGGAAGGGATCTTTCAAACCCACTTGAAATGAAGCAACGTGATATGGGTAGTCCTCGACTTACGACCACCATTGAGTCCAAAATTTATATTGTTAAGTGAGACATTTGTTAAGTGAGTTTTGCCCGGCCTTTCACAGACACAGTTGTTAGGTGAATCTGGCTTCCCTGTTGATTTTGCTCATCAGAAAGTCACAACAGGGGATCACGTGATCCCTGGAACACTTTCAACCATCATAAATATGAATCTGTTGCCAAGCAACTGCATTTTGATCACGCAACTATGCGAATGCTACAAAGCTTGTAAGTGTTAAAATGGTCATAAATCCCTTTTTTTCAGTGCCGTGGTAACTTCGAACAGTCACTAAATGAACTGTTGTAAGTCGAGAACTACCTGTAGCTTTGCTTTGAAGGTTCACATCATCCTAAAATTTGTTATCAGCCATCATTGCCTAGCCTAACATATTGCGTTGGCTTTTCTCCGTGCAAAATGATATGCTTAGGATTACCTCTGGATACGAGCAAATATCTGTAAAATATACTGAAGAGTTGAAAGTTTGATTCTTAAAAGGCAGTTGTTTGTCCAAGTCACACCAGAGCTGTGGATGAAGAAAAAAAAAGACGAATAAGAAAAGCAATGCAATTGTTTTGTACAGTCTGTGTTGAGAAATGAAGGAATGAGAATACTTTATTGGGAGGAGGAGGAGGAGGAGGAGGAGGAGGAGGAGGAGGAGGAGGAGAAGAAGAGGAGGAGAAGAAGAAGGAGGAAGAAGAAGAAGAAGAAGAAGAAGAAGAAGAAGAAGAAGAAGAAGAAGAAGAGAAGAAGAAGAAGAAGAAGAAGAAGAAGAAGAAGAAGAAGAAGAAGACATTAGTGTTAATGCCTCCAACCTCTGGAATAAAGAACCACTTGAGAAAAAGCAGAAAAATAACCCTGTATCTTTTTAGAAGTCATATACTGAGGGCAAGAGCGAACAACTCTTTGGAAAGGATGAAGACTCTGTATGGGTTTACAAAATGCTTCCATTGGAAGACATACAGTATTAAAAGCATCAGCCACTCAGGCATATTAGAAAGCAAATCAGACAGTTCCCAGTTTCTTTCCACCCTGTAGGAATTTTATGAGGCTCACAGACAACCTTTCCATGCTGCATGGTTCTAGGACTGGGATTTTTTCCCCCCTTGTATTATGTCAGATTTCTATTTTTATTTCATATATATATATATATATACATATATATATATATTAAAAGAGTGTTTTGTATTAAGCCACACTCTTGTGAAATGGGAGGCCGCATAAGCATGATACATGATAAATAGACGATAGATGATAGATAGATAGATAGATAGATAGATAGATAGATAGATGATAGATAGATGGGTGGGTGGGTGGGTGGGTGGGTGGATGGATGGATGGACGGATGGTTGGGTGGATGGTTGGGTGGATGGATGGATGGATATGATGACAGATGACAGAGGATAGATAGATGATAGATAGATAGATGGATGGATGGAGATGATGACATGATAGATGATAGATTAGATAGATAGATAGATAGATAGATAGATAGATAGATAGATAGAGATGATGATAGATGATAGACAGATGATAGATAGATAGATAGAAAGATAGATAGATAGAGATGATGACAGATGATAGATTAGATAGATAGATAGATAGATAGATAGATAGATAGATTGATGGATGGAAGGATGGAGATGATGACAGATGATAGATGGTAAGTAGATGATAGATACAGATGTTTGATAGATGATAGGTACAGATAGATTGACAGATGACTGATCGATAAATGATAGATGATTGATAGATGATAGATAGTGATGGTGATGATGATGATAAATAGATAGATGCTAGATGCTAGATAAATAGATGATAGATACAGATGATTGATAGCTGATCGATACAGATGATAGGTAAATGCTAAATGATTGCTAGATGATGATGGTGATGATAATGAATAGATAGACTAAATTGGTTGCCTACATATGAATCCACATTCAGAAATATTAGTTGTGTATAGAGCAACAGAGAATTAGGGCCCTCTGCCAGTTTCAGCTAATTTGGATTAACAGTCAATTTAGCAGTAACAGAGTTGGAAGGGACCTTGGAGGTCATCTAGTCCAACCCCCTGCTGATACAGGAGACCTGTACTAGGGATTTGAACCGCCAACGTTTCTGATCAACAAGCTCAGTGCCTTAGCCACTGAGCCACCTAGTCAGGATTATATTTATTCTACGGTAGTTCTTGAGAAGTATTATTATGGCTGACCACATGTAGCTGGAAATGCCAATGTATTGTATAGAACAAAATCATAATTAGGGAAGCAAAATCTTCTCAAAGGACAAAGACGTCAGTGTGTCATCTGAGGCCCCCTGAAAGACTGAATAATATGGGGTTTGATTTCCTCCCTCCCTCCCTCCTTTCACTTTCCAGAGGGAAAGTATATTTAAATGGTTTCAAGTACAAAATATCAGAAGCTACTATCCTGGGAAATCAGCTTTTTTTCCCCAATCTTTCACTTTGCCGATTTTTAGATAGAACTGAATTATTTGTAGCTCAGACCTCACAGTATAATGAAAGGTTTGTAGTCCAGCATATCTGAAAGGCATCACTTTGAGTAAAGTTGCTTTTAATAACTAGTTTCTGCTTTTTCTGCTCCCTTCTACATTCAGACAATCTTTCCCTTCTGAAATACTTACAATATTGATGATGGCTCCCAAGAAATTAATCATAATTGAGGCAAAGATGATGACATTTCGGGCCAGGTAGGTCTCATTAATCCAGCAGCAAGTTTTCCGGAGCACCAGGGGTAAGCATTTGTAATCCTCTGCAGTGGTTATCAGCACGAGAGATGAATGTAATATAATTAGAATTGAAAACTGGACAATCATCGGAATCATTCTGGAGAAGGAAGACAGACACCCATCCTTAGAAGACAGAAAAACAGCCTTCTCCTGCATTTATAGGAAGAGTAAAATTTTGCAAGGGACACAGGACAAACTGATCAAAAAAATTTACAATTACTTACAAGGATATAAATTAGAAGAAGAGGTAGTGAAAAAAATATGATAACCTGGGCAAAAAAATTCGGTTATAGTATTCAATTAGACAAATGGGAAAAACTATGGAAAATAAATTATAAATTGACAATGTCTGTAAAGAAAATAAAATAAAGAAAATCTCTATAAAATGTTTTATAGGTGGCACTTGCCACCAGCCAGATTGGCAAGAATGTTCCCCAGCACGCCATCAACATGTTGGAAATGCAAGCACCACAAAGGCACCTATTACCATATGTGGTGGACCTGCCCAATGGCGAAACAATATTGGCAAAGGATCAAAATACAAATAGAGGAAATAACACACCAAAAGATAGAACTAAGACCAGAAATCTTCCTAGTAGGCATAGTGAATGGACACTATGAAAAAGAAACAACATATATAATTATACACATGATAACAGCAGCACGAATACTATACGCGCAACACTGGAAGAGTAGTGATATACCAACACCAGATAAAGTAATCAATAAAACTATGGAATGTGCGGAATTAGATAGACTCACAAAGAAATTACAAAATAAGGAAGAACATGACTTTTACTTAGGATGGGAAAAGTGGTATAGTTGGTTGAAAGATAGGAAAGAGATGAAGCAATAGGAAGTAAACAAAATGACCAAATATAGTATGATGGAAACAAAGAACAGACATAGGTCAACAAAGATCAATAGTAGATAGACAAAAGGGAATGACCAAATAAGGAAGAGTCAAAATACGAAGAGAAATGTATATTACAGTTGCGACAAACTGGACATGTATTGAAATGGGTGTTTATATGTTTTTATGTTTTGTACGTTTCATTGTTCTGTTTAGTTTGTACTTACAAATAAAAATTGAAAAAAAAATCTTCTAATTTCATGTTCTCAGGACAGGTCATCTTGGAGAATGTCTACCCAGATAGTCCTTAGGAGTTGATGCCAACTTAATAGCACTTAATCAATTAGTTTTTATTCTTGTGCATCTGCATGCAATATACTTGTAGATGTAGGAGAGGAGAAGGCAGAGCTGATGGGGGGGAGGGAGTTAAGTGTGCTATCAGCCTAGAATTGCTATGTTGCCACAAACGGTCCAACCCTCTTGAATTCCATTGACTGCCAATTTAGTATTGAACTTTAGTTGACTAGATTTTTGTTTACAGGTAATATATGGTCTGATCCTTTAGCTTGACTGCAGGAGACCCATGCAAATATAACCTGTTCTTATATGACAGGATGATTTAAAACAGTGCTTCTCGAAGACAAAATGAAGTATATACACAAAGAGAAACATTACCAGATAAACATAATACTGCTTTAGAACTAAGATTCTAAGTCTGTCATCTGCACCTCCATAACTGTCTGGTTTGGCTCTGCAACCAAACAAGGCAGACACAGACTTCAACATATAATTAGAACTGCAGAAAAAACACATTGACAGAAGATAGAGTAATTAATAAGATTATGGAATGTGCAGAAATGGACAGACTTACAAAAGAATTACAAGATAAAGAGGAACATGATTATTATCTAGTATGGGAAAAGTGGTATACCTGGTTGAAAAATAGAAAAAGGAAAAAAGAATAGGGAGTAATTGGAGTTACAGAAACAGGAACATAAATCACTAACATAAATTAACAATGAATCATAAAGATAGATATACGAGTAAGATCAAACAGGGAAGAGTCAAAACACAAATAAGAACATACATTACTGTTGTTTATTTGACAATATATATTTGACAAAATTTATATTTGAAATCTTTGTTTACATGTTTTGTTCTGTATGTTTGTTGTCACTAGTTCTGTTTTGTTTGTACTTTTAAACAAATAAAAATTTATTTAATTAAAAAAAAAAAAAAGAACTGCAGAAAAAACAATGGCTACCAACCTGCCTTCCATTGAGGACCTGTATACTGCATGAGTCAAAAAGAGGGCTGTGAAACTATCTACATCCTGGATATAAATTGTTTCAACTTCTACCCTCAAAAAGACTCCATTGGGCACTGCACGCCAGAACAACTAGACACAAGGACAATTTCCCCCCCGAATATCATCACTCTGCTTAATAACTAATTCCCACAACACTGTCAAATAATTTACTAAGACTGAATTACTATTATTCTTCTCTTCCTTACTAGTATCTATCTCTCCACTTACTATAACCATGTTGCTTGTATCTTTCAATTATATTGTTTTTATTAGTTTCCTAGTACGATTTGATAGCTTATTAGTAACCTATGACTATCACTAAGTGTTGTATCTTTTTATTCTTGATGAATGTATTTTATTCTCCTTATGTACACTGAGAGCATATACACCTAAGACAAATTCCTTGTGTGTCCAATCACACTTGGACAGGAAAGAATTCTCTACATGGGGCTCCCCTTGAAGAGCACCCAGAGGCTCCAACTGGTCCAGAATGCGGCCGGGGTACTTACGGGACCGTCTTCTGCCGCCAATTGCCTCCCACCGGCCAGTTCGCTCCCACAGAGAGGGCCTCCTCAGGGTGCCGTCGGCCAGACAATATCAGCTGGCGACCCCCAGGGGGAGAGCCTTCTCTGTGGTGGCACCTACCCTCTGGAACAATCTACCCCCAGAGATACGAGTGATCCCAGACCTCCGGACTTTTCGTCGGGCCCTTAAAACCTATTTTTTTTCAGCTAGCCGGGCTGTCCTGATTTTATGGTGGGTTTTTAAAATTTGAAATTGGTTTTAAATTGAAATGTTTTAAATTACGGGCCAAACTTATTTAATTATTTTAAATCTATTTTAACTTTTGTGTACAAATGTTTTACTTTGGTTGTTCACCGCCCTGAGTCCGAAAGGAGAAGGGCGGTATAGAAATTTGATTAAATAAATAAATAAATAAATAAATGAATGAATGAATGAATGAATGAATGAATGAATGAATGAATAAATAAATAAATAAATAATGGTGCCTTTAACCACTACACCAAACTGCCCTCACTGCAACCACCACAAAGAGGTGCTAAATGGTAACTGTCTTTTGCAGGAATCCAGTTTTCCTATGCTATAGAAACTGCCATTAAAAAAAAAGAAAGTTTATCCCAACTCAGATTAATCTCTCCATTCCAAACCATGAAACTCACCTCGAGGACGGAAGTAGACTTTGGATGGCGGTGATAAATACCAAGACAATTAATGCACACACCAAGTTTGACTTGAACACCTCATCCCTCATTTGGGAGTACTGAAATAGAAAACAGAACACAAAAGGGAATCAAGTAAGTGAAGTTTCTAAATTAGTTCTAGAAACAGAGCAAGGCAAGTATATGAGGCTTCTAAGAAATTAGCAAACACAGCTCAGTAAAGGAAGCATATTGCTGGGATAAGTATTGAGTAGATTTATAAATGAGAATATTTGTAGCTCAGGGTTGGAATGGGAGGGGTGGATCTTTTGTGCTCTCTGAGCTTTGTTGTTTTCTTTCAGACATTTCATTACCCAACTGGGTAACATCATCAGTGCTAGTAAGGAGTGGGTTAACTCTCAGTTTATATTCTAGCAGCAGTTTATATTCTAGCTACTAGAATATAAACTGAGAGCAAACCCCGCTCCTTACCAGCACTGATAATGTTACCTAGTTGGATTAGGATCAGAGGCGAGTTTCAGCAGGTTCTGACCAGTTCTGGAGAACTGGTAGCGGAAATTTTGAGTAGTTCGGAGAACCGGTAGTAAAAATTCTGACTGGCCCCGCCCCCATCTATTCTCTGCCTCCTGAGTCCCAGCTGATCGGGAGGAAATGGGGATTTTGCAGTAACCTTCCCCTGCAATGCCCACCAAGCCATGCCATGCCACGCCCACCAAGCCACACCCACAGAACCGGTAGTAAAAAATTTTGAAACCCACCATTGCTTAGGATATGTCTGCAAGAAAACAACCAAGCACAGAGATCACCAAGGACCCCCATCCATACAAAGAAATATCCCATCAAAACAAACATGCTTGCAAGACCCATTAAAGAATTGCATGCCCCCAACCCTAGGAGAGCAGTAATTCCACGTTTGTGCTGGAGCTTTACTAAGATGGCTTTGTCACCTAATCAGGTGCACATTTTTTTTTTAAAGGATGGGTGGCCCATTGAAGGGAAATGGTGATCTAGAAATGCAATGAGACAGTGGTGGGTTGCTACCGGTTCGCACCGGATCAGGCGAACTGGTAGCAGCAGCGGCAGGAAGCTCTGCCCACCCACCCGGATGCTTCTGCGCATGCTGATAGCAACGGGATTTGGAACCTGCCCCTGCAGTGAGATAAGTAGGAAGGAGGGCATCTAATGGGAATATCTTTAGGAGCTGTTGTGGCTCCGTTGCCTGAGCCTGGGCTATCGACAGATGCAGACTCTGAGAGTGAGGGAGAGGAGTTGGCAAGGCCTCCCTCTCCAGGACACTCCTCTCTGGCAATGCCTCCGGAGGACACCGAAGGCCAAAAGATAGGCCCAGAGCCAAGCACGTCCCCACAGCCACAGGTGGGCAGCGACGAAGGAGATAGTGCTGGCTGGACCCTCGGCAGAGGCGCAGGGAGAAGCGTGCGCAGCAGAGGGGAAGGCATGCCAGAGATTAGCTGAGTCACTGGACACACCCCACAGGGTACAAATGTGGGTGTGGTGGCTGGTTCAGTTTGTGATGAGCAAAAACTAGAAATAATCCATGATCTCTGCGTTACTGGACTTCTGCCTTCCTTGTCGGACTGCATTTGGACTAATCCTTGTATTGTTGAAACTTTGCCTGCTTTATCGGAATGCTTGCAGTCTGATCTTTGTTTTGTGTGAGTAAAGTCTGAATTGGCAGCTAGCCACTGGGTTGCTGCCAGCTTTATCTTCAAAGATTTTGTCATGTGGCTTATTAACTCCGGGCCATCTGTGTGTGTGTGACAGAACATGAGCTTGCTTGGATTCTGCAGTCTCATTAATAATAATAATAATAATAATAATAATAATAATAATAATAATACAATTAATTTTTCATGCAGTCCTAAACACTTGGGAAGTGTTCGACTAGTGATTTGGGATACGAAATCCAGCATGGTCATCTCATTTGCTGTGTATAAAAAATATTTTAATAATAATAATAATCATAACAACAACAACAACAGCAACAACAACAACAATAACAATAATGGTATTCCATTATTCCATCTTGATAGATGATAGAGATACATAGATTGAGATAGATCAATACATCTATCATTCTAGGTAGATACATAGATTGATCAATACATAGACAGACAGCTGACAGAACAGAAAAAGGGCGGTTTGTGAAATGCACAAGGAGAATGAACTGATCTCCATATTCAAAACAGCTTCTCTTCTATGTATTTAGCTCTCCCCCCCCCCAAAAAAAAGGAGAGAGAGAGAAAGGCTAAAGGCCAGGTTGGGTGTGTGTCAGTTGCCCTCAGTTTCGACCGGTTCGCAAGAACCGGTAGTAAAACCAGCGGGAAGCCCCACTCACCGCTCCAGATGTCATCTTCAGCGATCTGCGCATGCGCAGAAGCTTCTTGCGCAATCCCGTTGCGAACCGGTAGTAAAGGTAAGTAGAACCCACCCCTGGTGTGTTTGTGTGTGTGTGAAAATCAGGATGGGTTGGGGCCACTTCCAAACACCGAACTCTGAACGTGACGAGTACATGAAGTGAAGATTACAATGCTATCAAAATGTCGTCTCCTGCCTCCGCTGTGCAAATTTTGTTTTGATCTAAAAATAAGCCTCCCGAGAGCTGTTGTGACAGATTGTTCACCCCGTCAGCCCTTTAGCTGATCCTTTTTACCTTTTTTTTAAAAAAAAAAAAGAGGGGAAAAAAAGAGAAAAGAAATCAGACGGGCTGACACGTTTATAGCTGTGAAGTCATTTGCTGCTCCCTGAAAAGGTTGGCCGTCGAGATGACCGTCGAGATGGCCGAATCGGCCATCTCTTCTTTTCTGTACTTCAGAAATTGATGGGGTTTAAGTGGTTTTGGATGTCCTTGGAGAGCACTCGGCTGTCATCAAGATAGCCCCGAAGCACTGGAAGAGGCTTTCACGAGGGGATGCTGTAAGAACCTGGAAATAACAGGCTCCTGGCCTGAAGAGGCAGATGGAAGATCTTGGTAGGATAAATTACCCATCCATTTTGAAAGCTTTAAAATAGATAGGTCTGCTGCAGTGGTGAAATCCTCCATGGATTGCCACTGGTGCATATGCCAAATGCACGCTGTGAGTGCACGCATGCGCAGTGCATGCCAAATGCACACTTTGCACAGAAAAAGGAGGCTTAAAAGATAAGTAGAACAGCGAGGGGGGAGTGAAGTTGTGCCATGTGATTTAAATTCGCTAGAAAGCAGGATTTCCTGCTTTCTAGAAAATATAAATTGCGCGGCACAGCTGATCGTCAGAAATACCGGTTCGAATGAACTGGTAGCGTTTTTTTTTACTGCCAGTTCGCTCGAACTGGTAGCTTTTATCACTACTGGTCCCTTCCAACTCTGTTAATCTGCAATCTGAGAAGACCTCCAAGATCCCGTCCACGTCTATTATTCTGTTAAACCTAAGTAGAGCTGGCTATCTTTTGAGTACCTTCTCATACCTGCACTTAACCAGGGTTACAAATGCTTCCTTGGAGCATCTTTTCCCCCCCATGTCTTTTAGGATAGGGCCTTCTTCTCAAGTCATGAATGAGATAGGCTTACTCAGCCTTAGCTATACTAATAGTTAAATTAACTCTTCCCTCCCCTCCTTATGTCAAGGTCATCCAAGGTCCACGAGAAGATCAAATCTGTTAAACTTTGGCATCCAACAGGTGAAGGACAGCCAAGGTATTCAGTGATCGGAGAAGAACAATCGAGGCAGGTTGGACATGAGTACAGTCATAGGGGCAGAACATTTCATGTTGGTCTAGTTTTTAACCAACTCAAGGATGGATGAAGAACATTTCAATTCAGCCAATGGGAAAGGTCTTGATTTTTGGAAATTGGTTGGCTTAGGTCTGATCCTTCCCGACCATTGACCAAAGTAGGAATTGATGGAATCCAACAATGGAACATGTAAGTCATCTAAAAAAAAAATACTAGGAAGGCTGAGCACCAAAGAATTGAGGCCTTTGAACTCTGGTGCTGGAGAAGACTCCTGCGAGTCCCTTGGACTGCAAGGCGATCTAACTGGTCGGTCCTAGAGGCGATCAACCCTGACTGCTCTTTAGAAGGCCAGATCCTGAAGAGGAAACTCAAATACTTTGGCCACCTAATGAGAAGGAAGGACTCACTGGAGAAGAGCCTAATGCTGGGAAAGATTGAGAGTGAAAGAAGAAGGAGACGGCAGAGAACGAGGTGGCTGGATGGAGTCACTGAAGCAGTCAGCGTGAGCTTAAATGGACTCCAGAGGATGGTAGAGGACAGGAAGGCCTGGTGGAATGTTGTCCATGGGGTTGCGATGGATCGGACACGGTTTCGCAACTAACAACAACAAAAAATACCAAGCTGACTGTTTAATCTCCTTCTTCTCAGGAGAAACAAAACTTAATTCCTTGAAGTAGGTTCTAACTTCTTTCCTGAGCTCAACTCACGTTTGGTCACCTAAGAAGGGACACTCAAAGAACATCTGTCCCTTTTCTCTCTGTCTCAACAGAGAGGTGGTCAGTGATCATATCTCTCAAGGATACAGACCTTAAAAGAAAATCTGTACCATTGTTAATACAAAATAGTGTCATTGTGTCTGAAAGTAATATATTCCAATAAAGACCTTTTCATGGAATACTTTCCCAGATCTAAGTGGATTTAAGGTCTCAGCAATTCTAATAACAATATTAAAGATAAAGTCAACCACCAGGAATATAATTCATGTGTAAAATAGTTAGAAAATTATTTAAGGGCACTGTTCTATTGCAAAAAAGATGGTGCCCACAGAATCAGAAAGAAGCATCTCCTCCCATTTTCATCCTTATTTTGGGAAAAAGAAAGAAAAGTAGCAGAGAATAAACCATTCAACACTGTATTTTAGCAGCATATTCTTAGGTGATGGGGGAGGGTGTCACAGAATCAGGGCTCAGGGGGCTACTATGACCCTGAGCCCCAGGTGGCGTATCCCATTTTAAAGATATAAGAAATGTTTCAGCCCATAACTTTGAGTTGCTGGTTTCTTACTATTCATACTCCCTCTATATATAATTTATATAGTTATATAAGCTCTGTGTAAGTGTTAACTACTCTGCTGTTCTCTTATCCATCACTTTGCAGTTAGGTTTACAAAATGTGCTAAACCTCATGCCCTACTCCATAAAATGTATATCACACCACACCACATGCTATGCCCAACAAAATAAATTACATTACAACTTCATCTCTTCTTAGTCTAGACTAGCACGCAATGCGCACCCAACCAAACTTTTCTGTTCATTTAACCTTCTTGTTTTCAGACCAAACAAGATACTTGTTTTCATTCAAGTATCTGAATTCATAACAAGGGAAATTGTAGAAAAAGGGATGGAAAGCTTATCTAAGCGAGATCCAACCTAAAACTAAGAAGAAATTTCTTGACAGTAGGAACAATTAATCAATGGAACGTGTTGCCTTCAGAAATTCTGGATGCACCATCACTGGAGGTTTTTAGGATGTGATTGGACAACCATTTGTCCAGGATGGTTGCAAGGTTGAGCAGGGGGTTGGACTCGGGTGAAATCCAGCAAGTTCTGATAGGTTCTGGAGAATTGGTAGCGGAAATTTTGAGTAGTTCAGAAAACTGGTAGCAGAAATTTTGAGTAGTTCGGAGAACTGGCAAATGCCACCTCTGGCTAGCCCCAGAGTGGGTTGGGAATGGAGATTTTGCAATATACTTCCCTTGGAGTGGGATGGGAATGGAGATTTTGCAGTATCCTTCCCCTGCCACACCCACCAAGCCACCCCATGCCCAGAGAACCAGTAGTAAAAAAAATTGAATTTCACCACTGGTTGGACTAGAAAACTTCCAAGGTCCCTTCCAACTGGGTTTTTTCTATTCTTTTGAACCCCGGGGAGAGACCTTGGCTAAATGAAAAGAAGGAAGCTTCAGGGAAGCAAAGACACCTCAAATGAGACCAAGAAGTAAAGAAGAAATGAGGAAACTGTAAACTTGTAAGTGTGATTGTTTATCCAAATGAAATGACAGAAATTGTAATAGTGGCAAGGAGACGCAAGAACAAGGTAGTACGTCAGATGTTTACATAGTCTCATCTGTGGTACCTTTGCTTCCCTGAAGCTCCCACTCTTTCACTTACCCATGGTCTCTCTCCTGGGTTCCTTGTTCCACAATAACAAGTGAGTTGTCCCAGTGATGGGATTCAAATAATTTAACAACCGGTTCTCTGCCCTAATGATTTCTTCCAACAACCAGTTCACCAAACTGCTTAGAAGGTGAACAACCGGTTCTCCCAAAGTGGAGCGAACTGGCTGAATCCCACCACTGAGTTGCCCCCAATCTTACCACTCCCCCCCCATAGTCATTAAGCAAATCACTGCCGTTCTCTCATGAATCATGAAGTAGTTAAGCAAACCCTTCAACTCAACCCAGCCAAGACCGAGTGGCTGTGGGTACTGGCATCTTGTTCCGATCGAGATGTTCCATCGTTGACCATCGGGGGTGAGGTGTTACCCCCTGTGGATAGGGCCCGCAACCTGGGTGTCCTCCTGGATTCATGGTTGTCTCTGGAAGTCCATGTGACGACCGTGACCAGGGGGGCATTTGCCCAGGTTCGCCTTGTGCGACAGTTGCGCCCTTACTTGGACCAAGATGCCCTACGCACTGTTACTCATGTGCTGGTCACCTCCCATCTTGACTACTGCAACGCTCTCTACATAGGGCTGCCCCTGAAAACCACTCGAAGGCTTCAGCTGGTGCAGAATGCGGCCGCGCGGGTTGTGATGGGAGCGCCCCGGCACTCCCATGTTACACCCCTCCTGCACGGCTTGCATTGGTTACTGTTGTCCTTTGGGTGAGGTTCAAGGTGCTGGTTATCACCTATAAAGCCCTTCATGGCCTAGGCCCAGGATATCTGTTGGACCCCCTGCAGCCAGCGACAATTCCCAATCGCCCGGTGCATTCCCACAGACAGGGCCTTCTCAGGGTGCTGTTGGCCAGACAGTGTCAGCTGGTGACGCCCAGGGGGAGAGCTTTCTCTGTGGGCGCACCCACCCTCGAACCAACTTCCGTTGGAGCTCCAGATGGCCTCTGACCTTCGCTCGTTCCGCCGTGAGTTGAAGACTTGGTTGTTCCGTAGCCTGGACTGATGGGGGGGGTGTTAATGAATTTTAAACTGTTTTAAATTGGGTTTTAATTCTATATCGTTTTAATAAGGAATTATGCATTTTACCGTTGTGAGCCGCCCTGAGTCCTCGGAGATAGGGCGGCATATAAATTGCATAAAATAAATAATAAATAAATAAATAAACCCAGCTTACGCCAATGGTTTTGCTTGCCAGGAGATGGCTGAGAAAGTTGCCAACGGCAACCATATGAACCTGGGATGCTGCAACTGTCATAAATAGATGCCATTTGTCAAGCACCCGAATTCGGATCACATGACATGGGGAATGCCGCAACAGTTGTCAAGTGCGAGGGCCAGTTGTTGAGTCACTTTTTTTCAGTGCCGTCGTAACGTCAAACAGTCATGGTTGTAAGTCAAAGATGATCTGTATTCCATTTTGGGGTTCGCACCATAGATCAGGGGTGTCAAACTCGATTTCATTGAGGGCCGCATCAGGGTTGTGTTTGAACTTTGGGGGGCCAGGGTGGGCGTGGCCAGGGTGGGTGTGACCAGCTTGACATCACTGGGGTTTGGGGGCGCCTGTGGTGGCCCGAGCGCTCTACCAGTGAAAACAGGCTCCCAAGCTCCGTTTCTGGCTTTGACAGCCTCCTGCAGCCCTCTGCCACCCACGGCCCTCGCAAGCTCTGTTTTCGCTGGCAGAGGCACCACGGGCCAGTCCTTCATTGTTTGCAGGGTGGGTCAGATCTAAGCACCCCGCAGGCCGGATCTGGCCCCCAGGCCTTGAGTTTGACACCCCTGCCATAGATTAAACTATAAGTAACCAAACATGTTACACCGTTGCACAAAAAGGTCTACCACCATCTTTCTGCATCTCACTCTGCATCTCTCTCTCTCTCTCTCTCTTTCTCTGTCTCTGTCTCTCTCTAGCTCTCATTCTCTTTCTCTCTCTTTCTGTCTCTACCTCCATCTCTACCTCTACCTCCACCTCCGTTTCCATTTCCATCTCCTCCTCCATCTCTACTTCAGTGGTGGGTTTCAAATTTTTTTTACTACCGGTTCTGTGGGCGTGGTTTGGTGGTCATGGCATGGCTTGGTGGGCGTGGCAGGAGAAGGATACTGTAAAAACTCCATTCCCTCCCCAATCCAGGGGAAGGTTACTGCAAAATCTCCATTTCCTTCCAATCAGCTGGGACTCGGGAGGCAGAGAACAGATGGGGGCGGGGCCAGTCAGAATTTTTACTACTGGTTCTCCGAACTACTCAAACTTTCCGCTACCGGTTCTCCAGAAGTGGTCAGAACCTGCTGAAACCCATCTCTGCTCTACTTCTACCCTAAACCATCCTTGACAAATGGCTGTCCACCTCCATCTCCTCCTCTATCTATCACTCTAAGTTTAGTCTGTTGTGCAAAGGCATCTCTTAAGTCTTTATCTGACCTAGCTAAGCCTGTGCAACTTTTCCCAGGGCCACATTTAGCTTCTGGAGGTCATCTGCTGATAGAAAGACAAAGTTGTCCCTGGGGAAAAGAAGGAAAACCCTACATCTTGATTTAACTAAACTGTAAATTTATTAAAAATGCTGACCACCACACCTTCCATATCTTTCAGTTTTCCTTCTCTGATCCCATCCAAGACATCTGGGGGCAACATGTGGTGGGAGCTTTCAGCTTTCATTAAGCTATTCAGGAGCTGCCCACAGATCCCAGATCTCAGGATCTGCGCCCTTCGTGTTCTGAAGGAATCTTAAGAGCTCCATCTTTGGGAGATGGAAAGAAAGGGAAGGGGGAAATTTAGAAGTCAAAACCCACCGCCATTTGGTCTTTGCTAATCAACGGTCACTGCAAGTCAACCTGAGATGGCAAAAGTCAATCTATCAAGACCCAGCTACCTTATGTTCCAGGCCAGAGTCTTTAAACATCAGGGAAAAAGGCTTGATATGCTCTCTTCGCAATTTATCGCCACTCCGCAAGTCGATGGTGTGTTCTATTCGCTTGTTAATTTCCTCAGGCCCAGACTGGACATGCAAAGCTTGTGCAAGATGGTTTGGAAGCAGATTTATTGAATTTCTTGTTAGGGCAGCCAGAGTCTAGGGGAAAGCACATGCAAAAAGAATAAACCGGCTAGTCCCCTTGTGGGTTAAAAAAAATGCAAAATGTTCTGTTCTTTTCAAAACGATCATGTCGCATTGCAAACTGTTAAACAGCATCCCATGCAATTCATTCATCCAGCCACCTGAACGTTTTAGGAGGAGGGCGAGGAGGCTCAGCTAGCAAAGGGCATCCGAGAAGAACGAGCAAACTCTCAGGGTGGCATCTTTTCAAAGTGGCATCAAGCCTCTCGGTTTGTCTGCTTAACGTTCATTTTGCCATTCATTGCTTTAAAAGAGAGAATGAAATTGGGTATGGAGTGGGACAACTCACCGCGGCCAACTTGTCATGGTGAACTCGTCGTGGCCAACTCGCCATGGTGAACTCACCATGATAAACTCATTGCGGCCAACTTGTCATGGTGAACTCACCATGATAAACTCACTGTGGCCAACTTGTCATGGTGAACTCGTCATGGCCAACTTGCCATGGTGAACTCACCATGATGAACTCATTGCAGCCAACTTGCCATGGTGAACTCACCATGATAAACTCACCACGGCCAACTTGTCATGGTGAACTCGTCGTGGCCAACTTGCCATGGTGAACTCACCATGATAAACTCATTGTGGCCAACTTGTCATGGGGAGCTCGTCATGGCCAACTCACCATGGTCTATTCTATTCTAACTCTGGTGCAATCTTGAGCTTTGTGGTTTGCTTGCAGACGTTTCATTACCTGACTAGATAACATAATCAGTGCTAGGAGTGTGAAGTTTGCTCCCTGTTTCTATGGAATAGTTTGCCCTAAATCAGAAGAACTCACCCCAAGCAGATTCTGTGCATCGACAGCCTTGAAACAAGACAGAGACAACCACACCCTTTGATCAAAAGACAGGTCTGACCATACTTTCATTGCATATCAAGTCAATGTTTTCCAGGGCTGTGAATTATGGTCTTTCTTTTTTTTTTTTGAAGCATTTTAGATGATTTATGTATCTGGTCAAGGCTGACTCTTTCTAAACCTCTCTGTGAGCATGCACCAGAAGAGTGTACTGGTGGGAACAAGCCTTGGACTTAATGTACGTCTAAGATCTTTGGGCAAAGAGTCATTCTGTGAATGAAATCGGTGAATTAATTAATTAATTGATTGATCGATTGATTGATTGATCAATTAAATAAGCAATTAATTAATTAATTAATTAATTAATTATAGCTAGCTACCTAACTTGCTTGCATAGGTCTCTAAAGTTTTTTTTTAATTTATTTAAAGTTTTTATTTTTATTTTTCATAAACACATTTACATGTACAGTCATTTTCATCATTTTTCATTCATCTTTTCTTTTAACTTTCACCCTTTATCTTTACTCCAACTTTTCTTCTTCTCCTCCCCTTCTCTTCCTTCCTGTTTCTCCTCCTATTTCCTTCGTTCTTCCTCTCCTTCTCTTTCCTACTTCCCCTTCTCTTCCCCCACTCCTTCCCCTCTTCTAACCTTCTCCTCTACTCCTCTCCTCTCCTTTTTTTCCCTTCCTCTCTCTCTACTCCTTCTCCTCTCTCCTGTTGTTTCCCTTTTCAGTTTAATCTAAAGTGGTATTCGAGCAGCCCTGATTTCCTAATTATCTTTATTCCCATTTCAATTTCTTATTCAGTTATTATTTATTTTTATTTCATCATTTGCGTACATTTTTATAATATCTCACTTTTTCCCCTTTTACCCCCCCTCCCCTTTCTCCTTTTACTTGACATCATTTGGGTATCTATTTTTCTAATTCCCATCATTTGGGTATCTGTTTTCTTCCATCTATTCTCTATCTATTTTATCTCTATGTCCTTTTTCAATTTCTTTTCTAACCAATCATAAAATTTATCCCATGTCTTGAAATACATCAACTCCTCTTTATCTTTTATTCTCAATGTTAATCTATTCATTTCTGCACATTCTAAAATTTTCTTTATGATTTCTCCTTCCAACGGAGCTTGCATAGGTCTCTAGAAGGGTTATAGGCAGCCCTCGACTTCCAACTACCCAACATTTCCATTGCTAAGCAATGATTAAGGGTTAATGATTAAGTTAGTTTTGACCCCATTTTATGACCTTCTGCTGTTAAGTGAATCGCTGCAGCTGTTAAGGGATCCATGCGGTCATTAAGCAAATCTGGCCACTTCTCACATTGATGTTGCTTGTTAGAAACTAGCTGGGTAGGTTTACAAAAGGTGATCGCATGTCAGGTGCCACGAGCCTGAATTTTGATCACCTGACCATGGGATGCTGCAACAGTCATCAGTGGAAAAACCAGTCACTTTTTCTCAGTGCCATTGTAACTTTGAACGGTCAATAAATGAATGGTTATAAGTCGAGGACTATCTGTACAAATATGATAAAGGGAAAATGCTTACAAATATTCTGTATTGAGGCACCTTCCTGTAGTTCCTGACCTGTAGGAATTTCTCAACACCTCCTACTGAATGCACCATGAACCTTTGTCCAGACCTTCACACTTCAGTACACAAAGATCTATGCACAACCTTCTGTGAATAGACACACTCCTTCTGTAGGAGTGTGTCCATACACTGGCAGCACTCAAATGTGTGCTCTGGTTGTATATTGGGAAGTGGGCAGTATCATGTTTTTAACCCTTGTGCAACATTTATGCAAGATTTCTAGCTGGCTTCCTGATTATTTATGTATCTGGAGATGCTATGACCTGGCAGCTTCTCCATATTCTTATGTGAATAACCAGAGTTATTCATTTTGCAGAGTGAGATGGGAAGCATATAAATTACAGTAAATTACATAGATGATAGATAGATAGATAGATAGATAGATAGATGATACATAGACAGAGAGATATAGATGATAGATAGAGATATGATAGAGAGATAGAGATAGATGATAGATATAGATGATAGAAATAGATAGAGAGAGGGAGAGATGATAGAGAGATAGATGATAGATAGATAAGATAGATGATACATAGAGAGATAGAGATGATAGATAGAGATGTGATAAAAAGATAGAGATAGATGATAGATAGAGATGATAGAAATAGATAGATAGATAGAGATAGAGAGAGAGATGATAGTGAGAGAGATGATAGAGATAGATAGATGATACATAGAGAGATAGAGATGATAGAGATATGATAGAGAGATAGAGATGATAGATATAGATGATAGAAATAGATAGAGATGATAGAGAGATGATAGAGAGATAGATAGATATATGATATATATATATATATATATATATATATATATATATATATATATGATAGATATAGATGATAGAGAGATAGAGAGATATGATAGAGATAGATAGAGATAGATAGATAGATTGATAGATGATTCATAGATAGAGAGAGATGATATATATATATATATGATAGAGAGATACATAGATAGAGAGAGATAGATGAGAGATGATTGATAGATAGAGAGAGAGAGAGGATAGAGAGATGATAGATAGATAGATAGATAGATAGATAGATAGATAGATAGATAGACGGAGATGATAGATAGAGATAGATAGATGATACATAGATAGAGCGATATAGATGATAGATGATAGAGAGATAGAGAGATAGAGATACATAGAGATATGAGAGAGAGTGAGTGAGTGAGAGAGAGATGATAGATAGATAGATAGATAGATCAGTGAAACCCAGCCGGATCTATCCAGCTTGTGCAATCTGGTAGGGCAGGATTCCAAAAATTTGTTTGTATGCTTCTTTGTTTCTTTTACAGATGGAAGCTTATGAGAGAACCACTGGGAGAACTTCAGAGAGTTTAATTTAAAAGCAGTTCAGTCTAATCGCTAGATCAAATTGAATTGGAAAGTTGAATGGTATCATCAAATTAAATGGGATGCCTTTTAGATGGAATCAAACATGCTGGGCTGCTTAACTACGGCACTTTTTTTTTTTTTTTTACATTTGATATATATAAATACAAGAATACAAAACCTATTCAAAATTCAAAATCAAATCCACCCAATTTGATGGGATGTTCAAATCAGACCAATTTTCTGCATAGGTTTGAAGTGTTGAATCGTATTGATTTTCCAAAACACCAGAAGGCAAGACAAGAAACAATGGACAGCAAATAGCACTTATATACCACTTTACAGTGCTTTTACAGCCCTCTCTAAGCAGTTTACAGAGTCAGCCTATTGCCCCCAAGAATCTGGGTCCTCATTTTACCCACCTCGGAAAGATGGAAGGCTGAGTCAACCTTGAGCCTGGTGAGATTCGATCTGCCAAATTTCAGGCAGCCAGCAGTCAGCAGAAGTAGCCTGCAGTACTGCACTCTAACCACTGTGCCACCGTGTCTCATGGAAACTATGGTACGATGGAAACTAATCGAGGAGAGAAGCAGCCTAGAACTAAGGAGAAACTTCCTAACAGTGAGAAAAATTAACTAGTGGAATGTCTTCTGAACTTGTGGGTCCTCCATCCCTGGAGATTTTAAAAAGTCTGACATGGTACAGTGTCTCCTGCTTGAGCAGGGGGTTGGACTAGAAGACCTCTAAGGTCCCTTCTGACTTTGTTATTCTGTTCTGTTAAAAAAGAAATGCTTCAAACTGGATGTGGGCTGATTTGCCCATCTCTCCTAATTATGCACAGCCATGCCTGCTGAAATTCCCCATTCTACACATTTATTAAAAGCATGCTGCATTTTAAGCCATGCTTCTGGCTAAGGTTTATTCCCATAACATACCTAATGTTTTTTTCTGAATGTGAATGACTTCTATGTAACTCCAAATAAATAAATTAAGAAGCAAAAGAAGAAAGGAGGAGCGGGAGACGAGAGGGGAGATGCTTGTCAAAACGCCTACAACAACATTATAGCTTTATAAAATGAGGGGGGAAAATAATATTGGTAACTCAGGGTTGAACTGTAGAGTCCTTGCTGTTCTCTGAGCTTGGTTGCTTTCTTTCAGACTGATAATGTTACCTAGCTGGGTAATGAAATATCTAAAAGAAAATAACTAAGTTTAGAG